CACATGCAGGGCCACAGCCACCTCCGCCCTCCCCTCGGGGCCCCCTCTGCCGAGCCCCCCCGCCAGGGTCTGACGGAAGAGCACTCGGCAGCCAACGGGACTCCCTTCCTCTCCCGTGACGCGTCAGCATGGTCCCCAGGGGTCTCCCAGACCCAGCGCTTGTACTCTCCTCCCTTGGAGGCCCCCGAGCCCTGCGTAGCAGCAGGTTTGCACCCCCACAGTAGCTAGGAAGGGAGCCCAACCCCGACCTCCAGAACCAGCACCTGCAGCACTCCGGAGCAGCCCTAACGGCCGTCGCCGGTGGGGAGGGACAGGAAAACCAGAGCCGAAGCCTGGGCAAGGCGTCTGTCCACAGTCAAGCTTCCAGCGCCAGCTCCCTCCTAGCCGGGAGCCTGCCTTCGGGAAACGCCGCAATTCCAGGCGCTGCGCTGCCAGGGAGGGAGGAGACAGGCTGTTTGCCGCTGTTGGACCCTGCCGCGCCCTCAGCCCTCCAGCCACACAGGAAAGGCTGCCCACGGGAGCGGCTCTTGGGGAGTGGCTCTCGCTGCCCAGTGGCTGCTGCTGCTGGATCCCTCGGCAGACGCCCAGCTCGGGGCAGCTTGGCAGGTGCACACGGAGGGAATAACGAAGTAACGGGGGTGGCGAAGGATGGAGCCCCTGGCAGCACCAGGACCAGGGCTACAGCTTGCTCTACAAGTCCTGGCTGAAGTAACTGTAGCCCCCAGGGGCAGTTGACTCTTCCCGGACATACTGCTGCTTTGGGAACCGGCCGACACTGGGCACTGCTCCTGGCACCCTGCACAGGGGGTGGGGGAAGAGAGGGAGAGCAGACAACAGTCAGAACCTCTGTGGAGCGGGCGCGCTAGCGTCGCACCCCCCCGCAGCACTTTCACAGGCAACGTGCTTTCAAGTGCCTTATCCAGAAGGAAGCCCCCGGCCCCCCCATGCACCGCCCCGCTGCCTTTTTTTCTCCTCAGGCGGCAGCCCCCGCTGTGGAGCTGCCTCGGCCGACGGGCTTCGTCCAGGAGCAGCTTACAGGCCACGCGGGGAGTCGTGTGCCAGCAGGGCCCGTAGGGACTAAAGCAGCTTGCTGCGGAAACGAGCGCTTTTCAGGGTGTGTTCGGTAAGGGGTAATCATCGCTCTGCGGCTGTCACGCTGCTGGCTGTACGAGCACCCGAGGGCCCAGTGGGGGAGACGCCTGTCTCGGGGCCGCAAGACACAGGGAGGGAGACAGAGGCAG